ACACACACACACACACACACACACACACACACACACACACACACACACACACACACACACACACACACACACACACACACACACACACACACACACACACACACACACACACACACACACGCGCGCGCGCGCGCGCGCGCGCGCGAACATCATAGAGTTCACATATTTGCAAGTTTAAAAATCTGTTCTTGTTAGAGAGGAGCAAATTTATTTCCTGATTAATAATGTCTCTGAAGTAAAAGTTATATAACCCTTTAAAATTAATACAATTATGTTTTAATTTATACAAGAGAATTTATTTACCTCATATGAGATTTAACTATTTGAAATTTTATCTGACAGGTACAGCGACGCTTACTGTGCGCAGCCTTACAACATGCAAATAACTATTTCCATTATAAATATATGTTAAGATTCGATATTCAATCTTTAACTTCGATAGTAATTCAAAGTTCAAGTATTTCACCTTTTTCATAGATATTCTTGAACTCTGTTATACAACGTAGAAGTTATATTATGGCAATAGATAAGGCAATAGATAAGACTAACATGAATATAACGTATATAAATATATGTGTGTGTATAAATAAGTACTGCATATATCTCATAACAAACGATAAAAATAATAAAGAAAACTATACATAAAAGATGCACGTAATATTGAGATAAATTATTCCACATTCGTTTAATAAATTAAAATTATTCGATGCTCGTGTTGCGTGCAAACATTCCTGAGTTAACTAACGTTTATTATTAATCGTATCATTACATTGTATTATGCAACTAATAACGAATTTGATTAAATGCATTAGTGCGCACTGATACACATCTATTAAAACTGCTGTATACAAGTCGAGTAAACAAGCGTATTTCATATACATATTATATAAACGATTAATCTGCGAAGTCTTCACATATACTTTATTGTGTTGTTTGATAAAATATGTATCTAATCATTTGAGATAACTGTACACTCGAATTGGATCAGCGTACAGCGGCTTTAATTCATCATGCGCACTACTGTATCCAGTTCGCTACAAGAAATGTATTAATCAATAAATGTAACAACTTGAAACTAACGATAAATATTAATCAAAATTATGACGTACACGCAAATAAGTTACAATGTCAATATTAGATGATGTAGGGGAACCCGGGGCATAACGGAACGGCGGGGCATAATGGGATATATAACTTTTTACAGAAGTGCTGTTATGTATTGAAATATTTTGCAATTATTGCTATTAGATGATCCTTATCGCATGCTGTTATCAGATGCCATATTATTTTTAACTGAAAAATGCTATAAATTTTTTAATGCGTTCGCTGCACTCTCCGTGACTCGCTTATAATTTCGTTGATAGATCAGCATGAGGTAACAATGATAAAATTCTATTTTTTATTACCATAAGTAATTTTACGCTATTAAACAATCTTTTCTAGTCACTTTAGTAAAGTACTTCTGCACAGATATTGATTATCTATGATATCTTATATTTATCCAGTGTAAAGGTACATTTGGGGGCATAACGGGACATTAGGCCGTGGGACACAATGGTAATAATAAAAATTGTAATAATAATAAATTGTTAATAACATCGGTTTGTCGACCGTGTCTGGCAATTAAAATTCTTATTGCGAAAAATATTACCCCAGCCAGGATTCGAACCTGGGACCTCCCTACAATCCGTGACGGGCGTCTTAGCCAGCTCGACCACCGGGGCTGTGATAATACTATTCGCAATAACGTGTATATAACTTTAAGATGTTGTTTACGCGTCTATTTCGACTTTTTCGAATAATAAATTGTATTCAACATCAAATGAAGGATGGATAAGATGTTCTTCATGTTTAAATTGGGCTCACAATTCATGTGCTGGAGTCGATGACAATGAGAATATTATACATTTTTGCACCTACTGCTCTTAAAATGTTTTATGTGATAATAAGTGCTATTAATAAATAATTATTATTATTAAAATTCAATACTACATTAATATATTTATTGCGTATTTAAAAAATCATTTTTAATAAGTTCAAACATTAATGTATAAGAAATATATAAATTTCGTGAGGAGTCCCATTATGCCCGGCATAAAATGATAATGAGATTAAGTTATGGTCTCAATAAAATAAAAATTTCGTCCTTTTAAACTATTCTTTCACAGTAAAACCATTTTTTTCTTATAGTAGACATTTCAAAGAATATTTTCGTAAAAAAATAATTCATTCATGTATTTTCATTTTGTTTAAAATTTATTTTAACCTTAGCGTTCCCGTTATGCCCCGGGTTCCCCTACATTAAGTAATGTCACTCTCATCTTTTTTCGGTATATGTAAAATATCTATAGTTCAGTTATAATAATTAATAATCCTAGGATAAAAATTCTTCTAAGATTTTTTACATAATGTTTCTGTATAAATTTCATAACTCTCTAATTTCTCAGACTTGGTCACTTTGTCACTGATGCAAGTCACTTCCCAAGAAAGCTGAGAAAGTCTACATCTCTTCCATAATTCTTTACATATATAAGTTCTGAAGTACGCTAAGAGTTTGTGTTCTATAATTTCTAAAAAGAACTTATAAATTTTGAAGAAACGTAAGATGTTTTTGTTTAGAAATCTTTATAAATTTAAAATATAAAAAATTCTTAAAAATTACAAGAAGTGCTGTTATTATGAAGTAAAACAAACAAATTAAATTATGACACCACAATGGTTATTTCAATAGAAAGTCATAATGTAGTAAAAGAGAGATGCATCGAGAGCTCTTATAGACTTCCCCATCCTTCACGCGCAGTGCATTCCAACGGCAAACGAAGCATTGAAGCAAATGCGACTGATAATCACGTAACTCGAGCATTGAACGCAAATTATTAATCCATAACATAACATGAAGCACGTACCTCTACTACTACAAGCTTTAAATATAGAACTGCTATATGCGATATAAAATCAGACCTTTTTCCACTAATTTATATTTCATTCACTAGCCAGATAAATAATTTTCAATAATTACTATATAAAAATTTTATTTATGTATATTAATAAATATATAAAACCATATATATTATTTATTTGAAAACAAATGTATTCGTAACTTTGTCATCGTATCAATATCATAAATATTATGAACATCTTGGAGCAACACACTTAATAATAATCGTCACTTTACACTTTAAATCAGATTTAACATAGAGCAAAGTTTTGTAAAGAATAAAATAAATTATAAAAATTATTAGATGACATGCACATGAAATACATATCCAGATATGTCTCTCTCTTTTTTTAATAAATCTCCAAATAATATCTCTTTTTTCTAATTTGCTGTCTATTTTAAGCATTCGAAGAGACGCAACGATACATCTAAGTTAATTTAACGAGCTCTCACAGGCCTAATTATCTGCTGAGAAGAACATTTGCACCTGTTTCCTTCCGCCCACATATTTTCGTATATTATTTATACTCACAAAATATCTCTGGGTAGCGTCTTGTAGAGCACGTAAATAACCTGTCGACGACTTCCAGTGAGGAGAAAGCCACCGACAAGCAAGCTTAGTGCTGTGATAACAATCTGATTGAGATCCGTCGTTATCATTTTCTGTGCGTCTCCTTGTCCCAGAACTTGGAATAATTAAGCGAGCGTGCAAGCCAGAAATGGCGCTAGCACCCGGTCAATCGAGTTCACAAACGCCAAGTGCCAGTATACTGTGTAAACCGTTTCATGAACTGATAAACGCGAGCGTTAAAGTATGACTGAAACGGAATCGAAGGATGACTCCGATATATATGACACCAGCCACGTATCTCCCCCCCCCCCCCCCACATCTACCATGTAGACAGACCTATACGTACTCATCACGAATCTACCAGTCCGCCTATGGAGTTGCTCCAAAGTGGTGGGGAGTAATAAAGCTGATATTACACTCTGGAATGGTTAACACATGCGCAAAAGCTTTCTCGAGCAACTGAGCTTCGCGACGGCGGGTGTTCCGAAAAGTGAGAAAACGTAGAATTGCAGCAGCTACGATCTTATGACCATACTCTGAATTCCCTTCAAATAAATCTCTAATCAAATAGATAATTTTCTTAATTACTCATTACTCATTCTAATAACAGAATTGACTACCACATCTTACATGAGATCACAGCATAAGATCACACATAAAGTTTATCCATTGTTTCTGCGTACAGCTTAAAAGAAAGAAATGGAAATAATGAATCTTATTAGTCGACATTAACCGACCAATGTTTTAATACAGAAAATTTATTGTGAAAATTATTACCTCAACCAGAAGTGGCGACCATGGCGCAGAGGATTGTGCGCTGGTCTGGTAATTCGAAGACCTGGGTTCAAAACCAGACAAAACATTGTTGGTTTTTCGTTCGATCGCCACATAGAGAAGTGGATATAGAGAGAGGTGTTATAAGAGGTTTGGGCACGTTCCTTCAAAAAGGACTTGTAACCCTAAGGGGAATCAATAAAATGTATCTATCTTATTACCTCAACCAGGTTTTGAACCTGGGCTTCCCTCCTCTCTAGGTGACCTTTTCACCAATTCGACCACTGAGGCATGTGGCAATATTTGTCGCAATAACAGTATATAATAAAAAATTAAAATTAAAATGCATCTGAAACTGATAATTGATAATATATTTAATATCTTTTGCTCATCATTGTTAGCATCAAGCAGCAACATTAACATTACATTAATATCCAATGAATAACTTTAACTACTAATAAAATATGTCTAGACACGATAAGGAAATATATAAAAATAATGATTGGAAGATTAGGAACATTAAAAACATTTCGGCCTCGTTCAATAAAAATTTTGTTGGCTGAGTAATCTTTCATAAATGCAAAACTGATGATTGATTAAAACGTGCATATCATCATTACTGATACAACAATGTAGAGAATGTTCGTCACTGCGAGTCATTGGCGTCAACAGCGACGACGATGGGCAAATCAGTTATTTTGAACGGACCATGGATCGTCTCGCATGTCTATCGCAATTTATAGGTCACACTATATAGAGCTTGTCACGTACAAAATTGCTCTATAACATGATCACATCACTTTCCATTGCGAAATTGCAGCTTTTAATGAATTCCGAGTAAAGTATTTTTCATCTTTATTATAGACAGCTTGGGAGTTTCTTTCTAACATATCTTATATGCTGTTCCAGTTCATTTTTATATTTATTCGACATATTTTAATTAGTGCAAAAAGTTTGATTATTAATTCTAAATTTGACTCCAGACAGATAAGTATCCATTCTCGAATTCTATGTATATCACTTTCTTATCAAAAAGATAAATAAGAAAAGAATAAATGCTTGAAAATTTATCGATATAATAATATTATAAGAGTACGTAGAAATAACGTATAAATATAATTTAAAGTAAAGTATAAATCCAAGATAACCCATGCGCAAAGTTATATCTGTTCTCTCGAAGACAAAATAAATTTTTAAAGAGTCACTACGCTTTATTTTAACTGACAGACAGTAATAAGTAAAAGACACGTACAAGCACGTCACTAGACTCACGTCATTATATTCACAATTACTCATTATTTCTTTGAATAAAGAAAGTAATAATCAAGATTTTTAGTCGAACCAGCCAGTAAAACCGGCCAGTGTTTTAATACAGAAAATTTATGTTACGAAATATATTACATCAGCCAGGGTTTGACCCTGGACTTTCCTATTCTCTAGGCGGGAGTCTCATCAATTTGACCACTGAGGCATGTGGTAATATTTGTCGCAATAACAGTACAGAGGTGATATTTCCGCGTCTCTTTTTCGACTTTAAACTGCGCGCCGATTCGGGTTATTGGCAGTAAACAGAACTGTCGATACGCGATTTTTAAGTATCCCTCTCCTTGTAACAAAGAAAGTAAGCCATAAAGTAGATATTGGTCTCATTTACAAACTATTTATAGATTTTTTAATACTAGAGATAAACTTCTTAAATATAATAGCTCTACTTTGTGTTTTATAGAACACGTAAATCATTGAATCATTGAATTACATGGAAGGAGAAGTGCCAATGTGAGCCACAAAATGAACGGAACTCAGTTCTCACAACACGAAATAGAATTCTCTCTTTAATATAGTGTAAAATGTTTCGACCCTTCTTCGGGTCTTCCTCAGTTAGACTACAATGTAAGAATTATCTAGAGATCGACTGATTAACATTTTAAGAGATGATTCTGTCCTATAATACTGAGTTACACGAGGTAACCATATTTTTCTATATTTGTATTACATAAGTATTACTGTACAACCATCTTATAATTCTTACATTGTAGTCTAACTGAGGAAGACCCGAAGAAGGGTCGAAACGTTTTATACTATATTAAAGAGAGAATTCTATTTCGTGTTGTGAGAACTGAGTTCCGTTCATTTTGTGGCTCACATTGGCACTTCTCCTTCCATATTTTTCTTTTGGGAGCCTTCACAATTTTGGAATATGCATTGAATTACATTACACAAATTGCCAGAACGTATCAAGCCGCGGTATAATTTCGTATATGCAGACTATGCACATGAAATATGCATTACTGTTTTTAGTGAATACAAAATGAAAAGACCATTCTATAATTTCCATTACAAATTGACATTGATATCACATTGTACGATGACTCCATCAATGCCAAGAAATACTCGCAAAATGGTCACGCATTAAGAATTCTTGTTCAAAGGAAAAACTTTATACGTTAAGAAAAAAAAACAAGATAGAAAAAGTAATATTATCATCTAATAAAAATGCAAAAAAACCTATATAATTTAATCCAAAATTACTGATACAAAAACTAAAATTGTGAATAACATATCAACTTAATTCGAATCATTTGTTTACATGAGAAAAACGTAGGCAATAATACAAGTTTTATAGTGACAAAATGTGCAGAAACAACGACACGTGTTTACACAAAAATAATAGAAGAGATATATTTATACAGAAAAACTTATATAACTACAATACTTATAATTGGTTCTTGGGAAGAAGATTTTAATATACAACATGTACATGTGTGTTGGTAGTTCCTCAGTCAGGCGTATTTCACAAGGATGGATACTGAAAAGAAAAAAATATTGCTGTTACCTTTTGCATGTCATAAACATATTGAGGATGATTACGTGATGAAAATAAAGCTATTAACCTTTAGATACGGGAAATGAGATAAAAAGAAGAGAATGGAAATAGGAAATTTTGATAAATACGCGCAAGAGAAAATTGCAAAGTACCGAAAAGTACTGCGCAGTACAAATATAATAGAAATAAAATGTAATAACTTCAAAACACGCGGTTATTGTGGTTTCTGAATATAAACATTTCTACTGTGCATAGGACGTGAATATTAATGTTGGAGGAAAATGTTAATAGATCATGTACCTTAATTTGTGAATGATTGAAGCTCAAAACATCATGCTTGCTATCTGAGAACCAGGTAAAGTACCGCGATGTCCAGAACTGAAAACGACACGCGCTAATCTAACTAAACAACACTCCAATAACTGTTTTAATCTTGATTAAACATTGATACTTCGAAACCTTTGAATGCGTAACAGCGCCTTTCGTATAAATGTAGGAATTGTGTCAAATATGTAAAAACAAACTAGAATAATATGAAATAAAATTAAATGAGGCGAAATAAAATAAAAAATACATTTTTTAAGTTTAAAATTAATTAAATAAACATTTTAACTAATAAAAATAAAATTATGATGTGTGAAAATTCTTATTATAAAAACTCGCATTATAAAATTACAACATTTAGTTTTAAGAATCTAAATTCGGATTCGTATCTATAAAACAAATATCTCATAAATGATCTAACCCACAATATCTGTTTCATAAAGATTTTTACTCGATTCGCTTCCGAACCACAAACCATAGTTTATTCTACTTAGTAATCATTAGTACTTATATTACACTATCTTGTACTAAGAAATGTGATAAAGGAGAGAAAAGAGGCAAAACATGACTGCGTAGGAACGTGTGCGAACTACGAGGTACAAGAAGCTTCAAAAGTACGAGAGAAGAGATAAGAGACGTGACGTTATTACAACTTGCTCCGTTTTATCGTGCTGTTATCAAACATTTGTATACATATGAATACGCAGTGCCATTCCTTACCAACAATAAAAAGGACGACCGTAACGGTGACGCTGATAATAACAATCCTTGATTTTATGTTCTGCAGCCATGCTCTCCGTTGCGCTCTCTTTGCGGCTTCTCTAAATTCATTTCCGGCCATGCTCAAACGATCGCTCGCCTCCTGTAAATCCTCCAACCTCTCACCGCGATCCATCACCTTCTGGACATTATCCCGCATCACGTCCGCCACCTCCTGAATCTGCAGCTTGACGCTTTAAATACAGATATTTAAACCGGCATTAATTCCATGAATAATTCCGTACAATACGCAACTCTCTAAAAGTCAATCATTGGTAAATATTTATCCCTGGTCAGCACTCGTTAATCGACTTCCGTTTGACCCTGACGTTGAACTTGACCTCCTTAGAGGCCCTCTAAGATCAAGGTGATTGTCTATTCCCGTCGCTCATTGTTTATTAAAAAGTTATGAAAATGAAAAGTTTCATAAAACCTCCTTAGATGTCAAGATCAACATCAAGATCAAACGGAAGTCGATTGGCGCGTGGCCTGACCAAAGGTAAATATTTACCTATCTCTAATTCAACGAAATAAAAAATTCATTTGGTTAAATGTAAATACAAATATAACAAAGAATAAATTCTATGCATGATAATCAGTTGCACAAGTAACTCGCAAATAAAATAAATTATAAATGAAATGTGGTAAAAATTATATAGAGATAATAACCGCCGAAATTGACGAAACGCGCTTTAAATTATTGTAAAATACATGCCCTCTTTAATATTTAAATGTATACACAAATCGTTAAAATAAAAATTTCTCACCACTCACCTGTCCATTTTACTATCACCATTTTCATTTCCACTCGACGTGCTGGGTCGGCTGTAATTACATGTTCCACATCAATGCATTTGTATTAATTAAGGCAACTTCCGGAAAGATACAGCAAGAGCCGAACAGAGTAAACTACATATCCGCTAAAGTAAGTGTGTAAACTGGGCATTAATTCTGTATCTTACAAAATAGTGAAAATGCTAAAAATGAGCGGCTTTATCCCTTTCCAAGGAGACCTTAGAAAGAGACAAAGCTACTCAGTTTTAGCATTTTCGCTATAGTGTAAGAAACTGGATTAACCGCCTTATGATTGACACTGAAATGTAAACCTAGTTTATACAAAATTTCTAAGTGTGATAACCATTTTATTACACCGGTATTTTGTTTAAGTTTACATTAATTCCTTAGAGCAACTATTCCTGAAAATTGGCGCTTGCTTTAGTTTTACGGAAATTGTTTTAATTAACTGTAGCCGAGGAAAATTTTCTCTCTTACGTGAACAGCATCTCCTCATCGAGATCGCTGTCGTGCTCCAATAGCGATTCCTGCGAAAGAACAGTTCAAATACACGTCAGATTTCCCGCCAAGCGTGACGTCACGTTCGAACGCTGCGTCTTTGATGTACATACGTACGCCGATGCGACGATACGATTGAGGAATACTCACTTTCTCATCTTTGTCCGCGCCTCTGATGTCCTCTTTGGATAAACTGCGTTTACCGGACGACAACATATCTTTGGGCAAACGGGCCCAAGCGTTATTCGCGGGCTTGGAATGACGGATTCGCACACACGAATGATTTTTTCCAGCGATTAGAATTGAACCTTCCACGAACACTCGGCCATTTTGACAGAAGCCATTCTGTTTTACCGGCCTCGTGATAGGCGAACCGTGGATCAATATAGCAGAGGGCAGTAGAACCAGGCGCGATTTACACGTTTAATAATAAAACAAAATTATTTTCCGACAATGTACGCAGTTTCGTATTTTAAGAGACAATAATCCGGAAATGCTTAAAAGCGTACTCTTAAAAAACATTTTTCTTGAAATAATATTTTAAAATAACAATTCTAGTGTTAATTTCTACTACTAGTGCTGTTAGTACTTTTAATCATTATAGTAATAGCATTTTTAATAGTTATTTCTAAATAATGTTTCCATATAACGTATATAAACCTGTAACCTTTCTAAAAAGTATTTTTAAATAATCATTTCTGTATAACATATAACTATGAGTACATATAGATTTTTTTATCTTGTACGTATATCTACTTTAATATTTTTATTTATTTTAATATTTTATTAACTTTAATGTTTCAAAAGAATATACAATTATATATGTTACATAATTTTTAAATAAACAATATAATAACGTAGGAATATGTATATAATTTAAAGAATAACGCGAGACCTAAATTAACTGAAAAAAAACAGCTGTATCTCGCATATCGTTTTTATTTCGACATAAACATTCAGATTCAACTACAGATATACAGTATAGCGCGAACAATAAAAAAATAATTTGATTGTCGTACGAACGCGCGGTGGTTCGCAAAAAACTTTACAATAAGGACTAATGTTTCTTGTATAAATCTCATGGGAATTTTTTTTTGGAGAGATAATGAAAACAACTGCAACGGAAAAGCACAGTTTCTACAAAACTATTTGATTATACAATACACATTCGTTGCTACAATTTCGGAATGTTTATTCAGAAAATAATTTCATGTTTATATATAACGGAAGAACAAAGTGCGACTATAAATACTAACCGTATGATGTTGAGGTTTGTCGAAATTGTGTCATATAAATTATATCGCAGTGGCAATCGTGCCTTCCGAAGTTAACGAACAGCACCATAGACATAGTAAGTATAGACTGAGCGTCCCATTGAATAAGCTGAAGCTTGTGAAGAGAGAGACAGAGAAGATTTAAAAAGACTTTCTTTCTCTGTTTCACCATCGAGACAAAGGAGGCGCAGGCACGATTCTTTTCTTTTACGATGGTGTAAGACAGAGAAAGAAAGTCTTCTTAAATCCCCCCCCTCTCTCTCTCCCCACAAGCTTCAGCTTATTCAATGGAACGCTCAGTCTATATTTATTATGTGTATGAACAGCACATTCAGGAATATCTGCACTCATCGGTAGATTACAAAAGTGTAACGGCACATATTTAAAGTTCCTAATAGAAATATTTTCTTACATTGTAAAACTCGCCACCATAGATGATAGACAAGATTGTGACAAAGGTAGAGGAAGATACTTATATATTTATACATATTTATAAAAATAGACCAGCTTTGGCAGGAATATTCATGACGTTGAGGTACGTTTACAGTTATAACTTTGTGAAGTGAACAAATGATACCTGCTTCGATATTATCGACTTATATTGATCATGTTATCCTCTCTTTCTTTCTTTTTGCATGACTCTCTTTGAGGATAAGAGATTGGTACATTTTGCAAGATCGCGCACCGTTAAAATATAACTGAAATATGGAAACAGCCCTTTGCTTTTGCGTCACTACATAAATCGTTCGAGTCGAGTTTCCCCTCTCTCAGTACACGTGCAACACTACACAGGTGGTTTTCCAAGATTAATCCATTCGGAAAAATGCTATCGTCTAAATTACTCTAAATACAAGATCGCGCAAACGGAAATTTCGACTAAACAGTGTGGGTCAAATTTTTCGTATACTTACTGTATTAAAAAATAATTGAACAATTTTCTGCAAAAAAATTAATTCAATTTCGATAAGTACAATAAAAGATAAAACAAATATGTTTTATCTAGAGAATAGTCATATAGCATCTTGTCACGCGCGATCATCTAGAATACTTTTTACACAGCAATTAAAAGTTACTATTATTAATTACATATTGTTGATTGTTCTACAATTTCTTAATACTTCAGATCACTATTATATACAATCAATGCGGTAGTTTTCTTTGTTGATTAAGAATTTCTAAGGAGAACTAAAAAAAATGTTATGTTCTCATTGCTGGAATGTAAAAATCATCCCAGGTGACTATTTAAAGAATAAAAAAGAATTTAATAGATTTGAAAGTCTTATTAGTTGAATGTAAATAGCTTCCCAGCAAACACCAAAGTAACAGTTACATAACATCACTATGCCTGTTATATTATATTTATTTGACAGATTGAACGAACTTACCCGAAGTTCGATCCTAATTCGGTTTTGGTTTTGGCTTTGAACTCTTGTCGAACAGCGTGCGGGAGCACGACTACATATTCATTTCCATCCGAACGAGACCGGGCATCAATTAATGTTATGTAATTGTTACTTTGGTGTTTGCTGGGTGATATTTTAGTTTCCAAAATTTCCAAAATTAGCTGTGTTATAATAGTTGTCAAAATTTTCAAAATTATCCGTGCAAACTAATAACTTCTCGTTTCTCACGTAGACATATAAATGCACATTCACAATCAGCCGACATATACCATTCCTAGGACCACAGTAATCGAGAAAAGAGGAACATACGCGGTAGAGAGAAACATCTAAACCTGAAGTTTAAAGTCATACATTTCATTACATATATCCGCGTATACCGTAATTTTTTATGAACGTACTCCAAACGTGAAACAACTCTTGATAGGAGTAGATAGATCGATATGTGTATAATACCGTCTCACACTGCGTCTCTTCGATACGCATCGCGTTATCGCTACGTAGTTGTAGACATACTACGCTTATATCTAGAAATAATATCTCCGCTGGTGATAAGTGTGACGTCTATATACGTATATGTATGCATTTAAATGTATGTCAGAGACGCTTAAATCTCTGATATGTTTTTACACGTTCGTTAGGCCGCGACCACTTCAACGCATTGTTTTCTATTAACAAGCGTGGTGAATGATAGGAATTATACGTCAACACGTTTGTCTCGAGAGAAAAATAAAAAGCGATACCGCATCGATAGGCCGATATATATTTTAATAACGAAATATTCCAAACCCGCAAAATTTTGTATATGCACACGTAGAGAAATCCAATAAATAAATTTTCCAATATTTAATTGTACGCAAGAAAAGACTTTTAGAGTGCAACCAATGTCTGTTAAAACATTATAAATTTAAAATTACACATGATGTATAATGCACACATATGTATATGTAAAATATAAATATTATATTATATAATAATACAAATAAAAACTTTTACATTGTCTATATATATATAAACCTAAATTAAATATATATAAATACAAAAAAAATTATAATTAAATTGGAATTTCCTTGCAGGTTAGAAGTATAGCATTCATGACGGATATAATTATAAAACATCTCGAGGAAAATGTGTTGCTACATCTTTCAGACTTGAAACGGTAAGACAAAGTCTTATTTGCTGTTGCACTTATCCTATTAAAGGAACCAATTCTGTAGTCTCCAGAATCCTAAAGACAGTAAAGACTTTATTCTCATTTTATAATAAAGATATCTCTTCAAATATTAATACTTCTCCTTAATTGTTGATAAATACTAAATAAGTTAAGATATCTGTTAGACAAATGAATAGAAGATGGAATGTACATGTTTTACAAGAATTAACTATACATTTAATACTGTGGTATGACATTGATATTTAATATTTTTACTAGCCTCATGAAAAACTAATTAATCGCAATTACCTAATTGTATTAGTTACATATATAAAACAATTATAATTTAATTATATGAAAATAACATAGAAATAATATAATCTCCTTTCTTCAATTTGCCTTTAAATATAGAATATTTAATATAGAAATAATAGAAGAAATATCACACGTAAAGTTGTAGTATTAGAAAAGAGTAGTAAAAACAAGCACAGTTTTCCTGATAAATCTTTGCTAGTCAATTTTTCAATTTCAGTGTCTTTGTGCTAATCCAAGGCCGTTGCAAACCAACTAAAGTTTGTGTAATAACAAAGTATAAGGAATTTAGGTTTATTACATGAACAATGATATAACTTCCGTTAACAAACTCCGATTAGCTGTTCGCATCTAGGTCATAGTCGTATTTATAATGTATATGTAGGCAGAGAATGAAAATTTAGGTAACTGCAGTAAATTAGAAGATAATATGGCGAAAGTGTACCTTTAACGTTGTCCTATCATAACGAGCAGTATTCTATTTTCTATGAGACATACGTCACGGTAGGTTACAATTTATAAAATGGAAAGACGACCAGCGTCGCGATCGGACGAATCCTGCGTCCAGTCAATATTATATTATATAATATGATTTACATATGATTTTTATACGATTTAGTCGAGTACGTTATCAAATATCGTACAATGGCATAACATTGTTTTTGACAACGAAAAGCGATTTTTACTTTATCTCTTCATCCCTTCGAATTTAACTGATCAATTACGACGGACAAGAGTATTTTTTCCTACGTAGAAATTGTGGATACGTTTATAGATATTTGTTCCTCTTTTTACAAAACGCTAATACGACTATATACTTTAAGTTAAATATTACAAAGCTCATGCAAATTCGATTTAATAATTGAAACATTCGTGTACAAATAACAGTAAACGACACTTGTCGAGTGAAACACTTAAGGGTTGAGTTGGATAGAAGTAATGGATATAGTTCTTACATTGTTCACCGTTATTTAAACTCGAATTTCATTTTTCTATTTCGTAGTTTTTTCGCATAATATTCCATAATATTATATTTGACTAATGATAACACGCCTGCAGATATCTTAAGAGAATTGTATGATACTCGCAATCTATAATTATATTTTATTTGCCAAATATTTACTAAATATTCCCCGGTAAAAAATGTTTCATGCATGAACATGAATAGATATATGGTATTATGTAAAAATATACATCAAATATGTCCATATACATATTTCTTCATTGCATATTTCTATATAATTTGATACAATTCTACAGTTCTGCATAATTTTATAGATTTATACATGCTTTCATAATTGTGTACAATTATATATAATTGTACAAAGTTATATATAATTATAAATGAGCAATTTTTTCCCTTTCCTATAGAACTGTGTAGAATTGTATCAAATTATATAGAAATATGCAATGTAGAAATATGTATGGACATATTTCATGTATAATTTTATATAGAAAAGTCTTCTATTATGAGAAAGGTTTCTAACATGAGATGAAATTTTCGTGCTTATTAATGTCTTAAGTGTATTCCGTATTGTTGCTCGTATACACACAATATTATTGCGTGAATATCTTATAAATGATTTTGCACTCACAGAATAAGATATTTTTATTTAAAAAATTGAGAGATTAACTGGTAGCTTAAAAATTCGGCTTGTTACGTGTGCCGTCCAAGTCGAACTGAATTAACGTTTTTCCCTAAAATAAAGTACTTCGTCGAATGTCAATGGTTTCCATCATTTCACCAGTTCTGCGCTGTAGATAAGCTTTATTTCGGAATATTGAGAAATATTTAGACAGCGCGCGCGGATCACGTCGTTCAAAGCCGGCTTTATTCACGAAACGCAATTATCGGAGCACCGCGCGGTAAGCGCCCGTAGAATAACGCGTGGGACCGAGCGCACGTGCGACTCATTAGGCTCTAATAAATAATCAAATCGCTGCATTGCAGACTGACGGCGCGCCAAACTTACCTGCGCTGCTATTTGTCTCGCGCTTGAGAACATAAGGAATTCCGTCTAAGATCGTTAATCTCATATTATAATTCAAGATCGTGCGCACATATCACGCGTGCATACGTAAGTACACGCGTGAACACACACACACACACACACACACACACACACACACACACACACACACACACACACACACACACACACACACACACACACACACACACACACACACACACACACACACACACACACACACACAGCCAGACACGCATGTTGCAGATCTTACATTTGTATTCACGATATTGACGATCAGTACTCATTTTGTGCTTAATCCGCTCTTGCCTGTCTCTTGGACTGTCGACTGAATGAGCAAAGAGAGGAAACGATGAAGAAACATCGGATGAGGGCGAAGGTTAAACTGTTCGTGAGAACCTTTTTAATCCTTTATCAGGTACACCCACCTGCGATCTCCTTCCAGAGGCACGTTCTCAAGGAGTACGTTGATCGGGCATTTTACGGAGGCTTAGATTTTAATTTACTAACGCCCCCTTAGTATATACAAACATAGACTTGTCTGCTCCAGAGATATTAAAACAAGAAGAAAATTGATTCTAATATTATCAAATAGTCGACATCCTACCTTACGCTTGTTTATTACTAAAAAATCTAGTTGTCCTATCAGAAAATTAAACATATAAAAATAATAACAGAATATTATTCAACAATTTTCTTATTATAACAGAAATATTATTTTTTGTAACATATCAGTAATTAAATAAATTTTTACAATTATACTAAGAAATATGATACTTCTTGGTGTATGCAGTGACACAAAAACTGCTTGATATTATTAAGTTTAATCTCCTTCACATAATGTAACGTTAAAAATAAAATAAAAATGTATAATATGCATTTATCTTTCTGCATTCATTGTCTCGCTTTAATGTCTGATTAAAAAATGTTATAATTGACAACGTCTTTGCGATTGTTTTAAACGTGTATTTTAAAAAAGATTTTTTTAATTAACAGCTCCCAGAGCGAAACCTCGCGAATATTATAAACCGGTTCGGATCGACGCTGCGTTACCGCATGATAGAGATATATCGCATATTATCCGAGCTGCTGCGGGAACAAAAGTCTGCACATATCTGCAGGGAACATGGAATACGTAGGTAGTAACAACGACTCCTTACCGGGACGCGTAATCAGTGCGCGAATCGTAAAATCGTTACGACCCTGTTGAAAAGGTCTCATTGTCAGTCGAGCTAGCGCGGCTCCGTAACATCCGCGTGGATGAGAAAAAATGAAAATGCTATGCAGCCCTCGCGGTGAAGCAGTGCTTAACCTCTTGGTCTTGATTACTATCGTGTTTCCGCTCGGTCGAGAATTGATTCGCAATTGTAAAAGGGATCTCTCGTGTATTTCTTTTCTGTCGTCTTCTTGCCTTCCCTCTAACGCGATATTTCACAGCACGTGCAGGTTTTCGCAGCTCTTGCTCTTGCTGTCGTTCAAGCATATCTTGTTAAGAATTTCTCTGGCGATGTTCAAGCTTAGAACAGTTTTGCTATTGTGCAGCTTCGACATCAGTTTGCCCTTGCTACCCTGGCGTCGGAGTTTCTTTTCGCGGCTTTCTCTCAGGCGGATTTGCTTTAGAACGCCGACCAGAAGCTCATCCACATTGTGCTTAAGCCCACTCGACGTTTCGATAAACTTGCACTCTCGCGACGTAGCCAACTGCTTTCCCTCTTTAACAACGATTGCAATTTCAAATTAATCGAAATCACATTGCAAAATATGAACAAAATTTATTGAAAGCACGATTATGTCAGTCGAAATTCAATCAAAATCTAAGTGAATAAATCAAACAACATAATGCAATGAAAAACGAATTGCATACCATTACTATTACTTATAAATCATTTTGATTTTTTGCACAACCATTGAATTATAAAAATTCTTTATTAGTCACTAAATTTTAAATAGTAAAGATTTTAAATATAGACCCTCCCTCCCCGATATATGATATAAATCAATCACTAAAGTTATGATTTTTATTCTATAGACAAAAAATTGGAAAAAAATAGAATAAATAAATAGAAACAGCACGAATGCATATATTTTATCTGCTATTCTGTTATTTGTACTATTATATTACCATTTGTCGAAATTATCCGGCTTCTGGCGAGGTCAGACTTGTTGCCAACAACAATGACCGTATGTTCCTGAGTGTAATGTTCTTGCCACAAGTAGTTTAGTATCTCCTCAGCCACTTGGAAGCTCGTACGTGAAACGATTGAATAAACCACGATGCAGGCATGTGGCTCGTACGTCGACAAAGAGTTTTCAACCTGAAGAATTTTCGAAAAAGTTTTTGCGTCTGACTTTATCGCGTAAAATAGATTAATATTAACTGTTTAAATACAAGGAGAATATTGTTTTTTAAATAAAATTATGAATACAATATATTCATAGAGTGTTCTCTTTACATCAATTTTCTAGGGAAAAATTTCTGATAATCAAATATTAGCTGCGTCACGACAAAAATTAAATATCACTTAAATTAGCATCGTTTGCGTAATGTAAGATAATTTGGAACACATTTACGATTATATTGAAGAAAGTGAATATCATTATAACTTTGACAATATATTCACCAGTTCTTGACAAGAAAAGAATGGAAAGCCGGGAAAATGCATGATAAAAGGCTTTAAAGTCTGACTGAGTTAAAACTTTGACCGAATAAAACTCCGTAATCGAGAAATAGTGCGATGAGTTGCAAGTACAGACTTCGTACAGGCAAGAGAGCAAACTCGAGTGTGGAAGAATAAGTTTAATAGAATTGCGATTGTTACAAGCACAACAATGATAAATTCTGTTCATTGAATTGTGGGGAAAAGCTTCATAATCTACTCTCGCACGCTTCACTCATCACTTATAATTCTCATAGTTACAATTTAGTTGTTTCAGTTCCAACAATTTAGCTGTTAAAAACTATCTTGGAGAATGTTCTTCTTTCAATATTACTATTTACAAAAAGAACACTCACGCCATGCGTATTCTTTGCAAAAACAACAAATTGTGCAAATATACAAGTAACTTTACGAATTTCATAAATGCGATACTAAAGTTGCAATTCTCGTTGACTTCTACAGCTTGGTACATGAAATTCGCATTATCGCACGCTGAGCAGACCTAGTCAGGCAGCTCAACAAATCCCGCGAGTGGTTCAGATTAAGGAAATCGATTTAACGTGAACTGGATGTCGAAGTATCATTCAAGAATCGTATTCAATGTTACTTTTACGAGTGCAAACTGCGCTGAAGCTAATTCAATTAAATATTGAAACATGTATATAAACCCACGACCATATGGTAATTAGCTATAGAACTACATAGAAAAGTCTCCTATTATAAGATAGGCTCCTAATATGAGATAGAGTTTCCGCTAAATTAATAGGCGTCACCTGGTTCCACCATGAATTTATTGCCCTTGGAGTGAAATCGGTTTAGCTGAAAATTGATTGTTAGATCGTGTAATCGTTGCGAAAAAAAAATTGTGATTCAATTTGCACGTTGAAAACCTGCTATCTCATATTAGAATCCTATTTAATAATAGAAGACTTTCCTCTATCTATTGATAACATTGTAATGGAAAAACTGACAATGTAACAAAAATATATTAACAATTAATTTCTTTAAAAAAATTTTTAAAGCTTGATGTAACGTATATGTATATATATTATAGATCACGTTTAGAATACGAGATTATAGATTACGAGATTAGAACGTTATATAATATATCATTCTAATATATTGTATTCATAAAAATTAAAATAACTCATGAATAGGAATATCGTTTTCTGAAAATTTCATTCACGTACGTGTACTTTGATTGTAAATGATCAAAGTTCGGTATTAATTTCATTATATGGATCATAAATGGATAAAAAATTAACAAGACTAAGGTGTTCTTTCAAAGTAATTAACAAACATTTTCTTTATCTCAAATTGCCAATAATTTATTTCGCGTGTTACGTTCAGTAATACAATACCGAGCTGTAGCATATTATTCTCTATCTTTTCCGTTTTTTGTATTCTTCGAAAGCTTTCAGCGATATTTGGACTCATTGTAATTATCGGACAACAAATTACAATGTCGCAATAATACAATACAAGGAATAATTAAAACATCCTGTCGCGAACAGCAAAATAGCTCTCACTAATGTAATTATAGCTGCCTTTGATTTGCACACCGATAAATACGATAACTGACACAAAGAGATGTTACATATCTAATTCTAAATTTAATTATAAATTAAAGAAACAATTTTGAAATTATACTTGAAAATTATAAAAGTAATCACTGTGTGACAAATTTTAAGTTTAAAATTGAAGCCAAGAAAAGAAATCAATAAAAGTAAAATTACTCTGTGATTTTTATACGCACATACTTAATTTAGTGCTCTCAGTTTATATATAAAATAGTATACAAATAAGGTCAATAATTAAAAAGTTGCAAAAATAATAGGGCACGTGCTCAAAATCAGAATTTGTATAATAAAAATCGTTAAATGTCGCCCTTTATACATTCGTATTTATAGACGAATTTATACTTATCAAACAGATTACAATTTATCGACCCGATGGAAATATTTTATGTTACACAAAGAGAATGTCTAAAATAGCCATTAAGCTGTTAAGACCCATAGATAGTTTGACCCGTAACCAATGTTTATTCAAAATTGAGATTATGAGCACTACAATGGCATATTAGATCCTTATAAGCTGTATAAAGCTTACTAGATTCATGCATTAATGTGTGTATCTCAGGTCCCGCACTATATTACGTAAATATATACATTAACGTAAAACCTTAACGTAATCAAGCAATAAATGCATATATGACATAATCACTAATCATTATTGTTTTATGTCAGTGCCTCAGATGTAACTGCGTCACAAAACCCTAAATTTTGCAAGGAAATTATCAAATTATTACAGTTTTTCTTTTTAAGTTCTTCTCAATGTGACGTTAGCGCTGTACTTAGACTTTTCTCAGTTAACTTTTCCATTAAATAATGTTCTTTACTAGTATTCCTTAAAGAAAAATTAATAATTCCGTGTTGCAGCTATTATTGTAGACTGTATAGAGAAATTATTTTAACATGATATACCACTAACTGTAAAACTCTGGACAGAAGTTATCGCGAATAAACAAACTTATCCAAATAATGTGAATAATCTCGCTTTCAAAAAAGTGATTTAAGACAGTTTACTCTCAAGTACTGATATAAATTCCAAACAATTCAATACTTACGCTCATTTCCACATGTGGATGGTCGATAAAGATCATTTCCGATTCCTCGCCGTCTAATAAAATGGAAACGGTTTTCTCGCCGAATTCGTCGTCTGCAATATAAAGGCGAAAGTCTGTGCTAAATGTTGTTGAATATTGTTAAACTTGAAGGTTGCTAAATATTTATGGCCTGTAAGTACTTCACTCATAAACTTTATAGAAACTTTTAGTCACTCTCAATCTTCGATTACGTGCATAAATATTTATTTAAGAGTACATTATTATTCGTTATACATATTTGTTTTGTGATGCAAATATTCGTGAATTAATGTTAATTCGATATATCTCATTAGTTAGATATGCTTCATGCATCAATAATAGTAATTAATATTGATGTTTAAATACTTTTCTTATTTGTATAGGGAGGAGTGCCAATGTGAGCCACAAAATGAACGGAACTCGGTTCTCACAGTATATGTAGAAAGAATGGTAATTATTTAGATTAACACACCCACCTCCAATAACCTTGGGCTTGACATATGTCAAGGTTACCCTCCTGAGTAACGCTCAGAAGGATTTAGCCGGCGCTCGTTGTTTATTACAAAGTTATAAAGAAAAGAAGTTTCGCAAATGCTATGTATTTGATGATATCATGTACGTTTAGGATGGCCTC